TGTTGATCCATTCATATGACACAAGGATCTCTGAGGGGGAGCTTCAGAAGAAACATTTCACACAGCCATTTTCAATTCATGTTTTATTTACAACACACGCTTATTTTTACATCCCTCACCACATTCTAACTTATAGGTCCCTGTCCCCCCCTTAACAGGGTTTTGTAATTTGTTGAACAAAGATGTTCACTATTCCACATTAAACATTTATCTCTCAGTGTGATTATTTTAGCTAACACTCTGTGTCCTCTGCCTCTGTGCCCCTTAAGCTAAATGTTCCCAGTTAAAGAGAGGCACTGCAGTGCACATCCAAATGTGTTATTTTAAACACTCTCCACACTCTCTTTGATTTGATAGTGCACATCATCTACAGTCCAGTTCACACAGTTTTGACTCCTCTAGGAAAGGGGAAATCCACAACAGACACAGGACAGTGATTAAATTGCTTCTCTTTCAGACAGTGCTTGATAATTCTCTACACATCAACCTGTCCAACTGCTTGTATGATGGTTTTAGGCTTACAGGCTCCATATCATATTTCTTCTTCAATATTAGCTAGTACATGCCTAGATAATAAGCATCCTCATCTCTTTCAACATCCTGTTGAGCATCTTGTTTGGGTCTGCTAAAATCAGTTGGGGCCCAATCCATTTGCTTCTTTGGAGCTCTCAGCATCCAGAGTCTCTAAGGCCTCTGAAAAACCAATGCTCAACCACTGAAAAATTTAAACTAAGAAATGTGTGTAAGGTATAATGGTACTTTTTCTTAAGTATACTTTTTAAAACATTTTACTTTGTGTCAAGAGACCTTTTTAGTTTGCAGTTTTAAACAGTATGGACTCTGTACAATCTTAATACAAAAGACTCTAGCCAATTAGGCTACTGTGGCCAGATCTCCTCCAACCATCTAAACATTCGTACATGCAACATACTTCCAATTCATCTCTGTATAACCCGCTATTTGAATCACTTGGGGTCTCTTGCTTGGGATCCAGCATCCCAAACTGAAGGTTAGTTAAGTTACAGAATACTTTCTAAGCCAATAGTTTAGGGCTAGCACTTCAAAGGTCCATTGCTCTCCCTCGATAAATAAGGAGGAACTTCTGTTTAAGGAAATCCTGAGTTACTTCTCTTACAGAATTAAACAAATTGAGTTATGTGATATAGTTTAAAAAGTTTAAGTTTAAAAAGGAATTAATGATTTAAGAGTGTGAAAACTGACAGAATTTGCAATTGCACTCTAAAAAGCCTAGAATTACTTCAACTGTGATCTGCATTGTCCTGAAAAGGCAAATATCTGGCCGTATTGTGGCTTTCTAGTGAAGATCAAACAATATGAAAAATTTGATTTCCTTTCTGGACATTGTGTAATACTGGGATCCAGTGCAGAATTAGTGACCACAAACTCAATGAATCAGCTAACCTTTTTTAACATGTTTGATTAAAATCTATACTAACACTTTATTTCAATTCCCATTTTATTTCACTCTAATCTTGTGATTAAAACATTATTTCGCACAAAAGACAGCTGTTTTAGGGAAAAAAGGAGGGGATATGTGTCTTAAGACAGGAACAGTCTTTATCTCCCTTCTTCATGCAGTAAAAAACTATGGCTTTTCTTTAAAAAAAAAATATTTTTATCTGTAAATGTAAGGAATATCATACTACTCCACAAACTCTTCCTTTTACAAATAATATCCTGTAAATAGATGTTAGAGACATTTTACTTTGATTAAAATTCTCTTGTTGCAACTATTCAATGTTTTTCAAAGGAGGGTACATTTTTTCAGATATACAACACCCCATTACTCAAGTTACACAATTAAGCAAACTGAAAAAGTAGCCCTCACAAAGGCTAATTCTCTATACAGGCAGTCCCTGACTTACGTGGATCCGACTTATGTCGGATCCGCACTTACGAACGGGGCTTTTCTCGCCCCGGAGCTCGCGGGCGGCGGGACCGCCCAGAGCGCACCGGTCCTGCCACCGCGTCCTCCGGGGCGAGAAAAGCTGCTCCGGGTCTCCCTGGTGTGCTGGGGCGTGGC